ACGAAATTAGCACTTTTTATACTATTCGAGCACTTTCTTTACCCTATCTTGACAATTTCTACCATCTGCAATGAGCACTTCAAGTGTTATCCTAAAAAAATTACCATTTTCTACCAAAGATAGACGGGTTTCTACCAAAAGTTTCAGTTAGTCTTCTACGTATTTCAGTTTTCTACCAAAGGTATTTTTCTACCTATTTTATTTTTCTACAAAACTGTTATTTCTCTGTGAAGTAATTAGCTAAGGTGAATCAATGAGTTCTTTTTAACGTTAGTGTTGCAATATGAGAAAATTTTAGTAACATTAAAATAAAATTACGCAAAATTATCAAACCTAAAAAAATCTATGTTTAGTAAAAAATATTCTCCAACTCTTTATATTACTAAAGTCTAAAGTTAGCTATTTATTTAATTTTTAACTTTAAATGGCAACACTAAAATTACGTCTAATTGTTTTAATCATAGCAACACCAATGGGGATTCTACCGGAAGTAGAGAAGTCTAGATAGATTTTAGTTATGATCTAGGCAGAGAGTTAGTCTAGCATGCCTTTGGTCTATTTTAGTGTACCTAGTTATACTTTTGGTTCAACCATAGCCCAACAAAGTCTATTGTGTATCATGAACAAAAATTTCATTTTTTATTTATTTACCTATTTTGTTTCTTTTTATTTATCATAACTTACGTAATTTTAGAAATTAGGCGAAATTGAGTGATAAACATATCTGGAATCAGCAAAACTTGATCCATAATCCTCAACAAGCGGTTTTTTTATATTTGTCATCACACTTGCTCTTAAACAGTGTCAATGTCTTAAACGTAATGAAATAAATAAATAAATAGATCATTTATTGTCTCAGAATAACATTTAAAAAAATATATACAAAGCAAAGATGTCAAAACAGTAAAAGTAAATTGAGACAAAAGGCATGGGCTCAGCTTATGCTGAAACGGTGATCACAGATTTTCAGCCTCTGCCTACCCCTTATGGTATTGAGCGGGAGTCATTGCTACGAGGGCTTTCATCTTATATCAATTCCTTAAAAACTAGCTCGTACCGATATCCAAAATAACAAATGCGCATAAGATTATAATTATAGTTATTGGTATAATAATAATTATTGTCTAAAAAAAGGAAAAGAGAAAATAATACAAGTAAACAAGTTCATGGGGCCTGTGAGCGTAGAGCTATTTCATTACATTTGTAAGGGATTTTTATAATAATCTCAGTACAGAGTACTTAAAAAACCGACCTCAAAAGTACGTGGAATTACGTCTATTTGCTAAGTTTTATTGAAATATCCACTAGTTCGCCCCTACACAGGACTTGACACAGGAGATAATAAAAATCGGTAAAGTATATTGAGAGAAAAACGCCTTGAATTGGAGAATAGCAAAACCAACTACTAAAAGAATTGCTCCTTAAGTAAAATTTAGGCGCTATTTACAAAAATGAATCTTCGTGATTATTGATTGGATTGAATGATTTTCTTCAAAATGAAATGGGACCACTATGGAGGTACCCTTTTTCTAACAAAAAAAGAATCATGAAAGTCGGTTAAAAATTTAATTACACTGTACTCCCTTGCCCTAAGATAAAGCACTAAAAACTGTAGTTTTATAATATAATCAGGCACGTCTTCGTAAAATTTTCAATCGGTTGTATTTTTTTTAGTAATGTACATAAGAAGATTGGAACTTTAAATCGTGAAAGTAGCAAGAGGTAGCAATTATTGATAATATATACTTCTGGAAAATCTGCTCCCTTCATGCTGAACAAATTGGCCACTAGCCAACCTGATATCAGAATAGCTGGTCAATTATTATTTTTACTTTCTCGGAATCTATCAAAGCTAGCAAATGGGTAGCAATTCTTGAATATACACTCAGCGCCCGACGCCACAGGCAACCAGCCATTCTGACATAGAGATCTCTCGTAGAGGTCAATTAGATGATTTCTGCACACGACTATACTTAACTATTTAACTATCACTACATTTAACCGACTCCAAAAAAGGAGGAGGTTCTCAATTCGTCTGTATGTTTTTTTGTATGCATGTTACGCGATAACTCCGCCATTTGTAAACCAATTTTGATGATTCTTTTTTTGTTGGAAAGAAGATACCTCGGATGTGGTCCCATTTAAATTTCAAGAACATATTCCACATCTAAGGGTGGCAAACTAGGGGATGAATGACTTTTGAGGTCGGTTTTTGTAACCGGAGGTTAGGTTAGGTTATTAGTATTTTGAAAATATATATTTTATGTCTGACACATCATGGCTGTATGCGTTTGTGCTTTTTACATCATTTTAGTTCGAGTTGTATTAACTATGGAATGGAAGATGCCATGTGTTTATAAAAAAACGTGTTGTGAAGCGATATATTTTATTCATACAAGATATAAATTTTGTTTCGTGGAAAATGTGATGAAAAACATTGTACGTAGCATGGGCGCTAAAAAAATTACAAACCTAGAGTCATTAAAAAACCCTCTCAGCCTTCAGCTTCGGACTTCTAATAAACTCGTGTTAGTAATTTCTTATTTGCCGCCCTTAACCCACAATGTACTATTAATCAGGTTCAGTTTTATTGAAAAAAAAAACCGTTAGGTGCCAATACTTCGACAGTTACCAAAACGCAAATGTGTTATGACAAGAAGGACAATATTCGTCCCGTCACTTGATATTATAAAAATATTTTGGCACTCTAGTCGGTTCGACTTGCTCAATAACCGGGTAATGCCAAAATCGATTCTAATAATGACTCGAAAGGTCGTTGACATAAACTACATAAGGTAATAATAAAGATTCCGAAAAACCAATGAAAATGCAGCTAACTGTATAGGGATTAATGCTAACCAAGGTGCGCTAAAATGAGTTACTGAAAAACAAACTCAGAATATAATTATCACAAATTACAGGTTTCTTACCACGATATGATTTCTTTTTATTAACCGACTTCAAAAATAGGAGGACGTTCTCAATACGACTTTATGTAATTTTGTGAACCGATTTTGAAGATTCTTTTTTTTGTTGGAAAGTGGGTACCTCAATATTGGTCCCATTTAAGTTTGATGACAATATTTCACTATTAAGGGTTGCAAACTAGGGGATGAATGACTTTTAAGGTTGGTTTTTTTAGTACTCTGTATTGAGATTTTCCCGATAATTGGAAACGGTTACACAGTCCAGGGCCACAGTTTGACTGGCGTATCGAATTGAGAACCTCCTTTTTTTAAGTCGGTTGTATACATTCCACTACTAGCCAGTCTCTTTTGGCAGCTCAATAATGATTTAAAAGTATATAGTTAAGAATTGAGGAAAATTTTTGTTCATGATACATTTGTGGTATTTTCTCATCTTTACGTGGTCTACCAAGACCAAACCTAACAAGAGAATACACTGACCGTGGTCCGATGCGCCTATACCGCCTTACCAATAACTCTGTCTTACAGAAAAATGTGTTAATATTATGTTCAATTCACATCTGTATTGCATTGTATTGCTAATTAAATAATATAATTTTTTTATAAGTAGAACTGTAGGGAGTGTACATCTTAGAAATTAGTAAACAAAGATCAAAAGATCGCAACATAGTCTGGTAGATATTAGCATGTAAGTTGAGGCAGAGGTTGAGGAGTTGTAGCAAATTACAGTTGAAATTTTTTGCAGGCAAGTTTATGTACACGCCCTAACAGTGTAAAAACAGTCGCAGATTAAGCATTAAACATAACAAGCATCATTGTACTTACTTTCGACTTTATCTCATTTTGAAAAGTGTTGTTCTTGCTTGAACGGCTTAATTTTACTTCCTCTATAGCAAAGACTCATATTTCGAAAAGTATAATATTTGGGAAAGCAAATAAAAGAGAAAAACAGGAAATACAAATTTTTTTTATGTATCAAAAATATTTTTCGTATTTAAAAAAACCGTATCAGTCAAGTGATATCGAACAATTTTGAAGGTAAGTGAAAAAGGTGCATACATTGTATACAAGAAAGGTTGCTGGTAAGAAATTGTTACATAGCAACAAGGTCACCTGTTGCACACTAACTTACAACATTTAAACTTAAATTACTGTTCAGTGTTGCCAGCTACAGTAATTTTAAGTTCAATGAAGAATCTTTCATTAATTCATTAATTTCAAGATATTTTCAAAATTATTATCAGTAATGGGTTAGATCATTTTTACAAATATTAACGTTTTATTTTCCATACTTATTTTTCGTGTTATGCCACATTATTATCGAAGGTGCGATAATTAAGGCATCTAGCATTATTTAAAACTGGTTTCTTTTTAGACTTGATGTAGTTTTTGCCCAAGGTTAAATTTTTACGCATTTCCTAGCTTAATGTCCATTCAAGTAGTAGTAAGCAAAGCTCTTTGTGAAAGAGCTCATCCCAAGAAGTACTTCCACACATTTCTGCCGCTATGTTCTGGTGAAATTACAGGCACAGTGACGGGATGAACAAGTCGTACGCTTAGTGGTAAGCGACTAGTCTGTCCATAACAGTTGCAGTGAGAGCTTTAAATCACAAAGATTTGTGGGGCACTACCACTGCGCCCGTCACTCTGAGACAAATTGACAAGTCCCACGTGCCTGTAACTTTACCAGCACCCTTACCCTTCAAATCCAGAACGCACTAATGATCATATTACTGCTTGGCGGCAGCAATAGGTACGGTGGAAGTACATCTCTGGACGAATTCTTCCAAAAGGAGCTCTGTTGCTACTGAAACTTTATCTCTAAGAGTGACGGACAAATAAGCATGTGATTTTAAGCTCTGAGCCACTGTTGTGGACAGGCGTGTCGATAACCACCAGACGCGTGACTTGTTCCACCCGTCCCTTGACACCATATTTTTTTAATGTCATAAAGTAGTTAGTCAATAAAAAATGCTTGTTCAGTTTTATGCTTTATCTGTGATAGCCTAAATCCCTTTACTTATAAAAATTCACCTTATACCTATAAATCTCCAGCGAATATTAAATCCTCACCTGTGTCACCGGATCTTTCATGATGAGCACATCGGTGACAGGTCCAAACATAGCGAAGTATTCTCTGAGCTTCTCTGAACTTGTCTGCCAGCTGAGGCCGCCAACAAAGAGCTTTGACGGCGATGGGGAGGTGGTGCCAGTGTTTGTGGGTGTCGGTGCTGGTGTGGAGCGACCACTTGACGGGGAGGCTTCTGTAGAAAATAAGGAAAACATTAGATTTACAGACACATATGCAACACCATCTAGCTTATTTCACTCATTTCTTTTTTATTTGCAGTTTTATTTATTATTTCGTTTTTCTATTTGTTACAAAAATTTTTCACTCCATTAAGTTACTCCACAATCTGCCCTCAAAATGAAAAAATTATATACTTATTTGGGATCAGAAAAAGAAGTCATGTACCTGATTTTTTGTAAATAGTTATTGGAAATACAGTAACCTCAAAAGGTATAACTGGCATGAACAATGAGATTTTCTAACATAATAAGGTCATATTTAACACTAACAGGGTCATATCTAACATAAAAGAGTCATATTTAACATTTGTAAATGTCTTCAGAGTGAGTTAGTTAGAGTTACAAAATTGAGTAGGTAGCTACTAAATTGTGATTAGGCACTTACTGATAGGTTGTGGTTGTGGCTGTGGGGCAGCTGCCGCATGCTGGGCACTAAGCACATGGACTGGATGGGGAGCAGCATGTAGCTCAGAACCCACCAGGCTGCCGTCCAGGACCTCCACGCCTCCAACTCCCACCCCCACGCCGAGGGCTCCACTGGAATATAGGCTCATCATTTTTATCACCTCCAAAATATCTTCTTTACACACTGAGATGATATACTTGTAATATTTTAGCGTTTTATTGGTTATTTCGCACTTTTGAGTGGTACTTCTTGAATTTAGAGTTTCTTTTCGGGGAAATACATTCAAATCCGAATAATAATCAAAATCGATATTTGAAAATTAGGTTTTAAGTTATTTTTTTTGTACGAAACCAAAGAAAATTCGCATACAACAGACGGATATACTAATTAAAACAAGCTTATAATTGTTTTAAATACGAAAACAACAATTAAAATTGACTACAATAACAAAGTCCAAAACTTTCACAATGGAGTCAAACTGATTTTTGCAAATTCGCTTTCGAGTATAGAACGCGTAAAATTAGCAGCTTGGACGTTCAACTTTGTGTTTTTTCAAAGTTTTAGTAAGCAAAGAGTTTTTATAACGTCAATAATACGCGAGAAAAAGTTGGAGGAGTTTTTGTACGCTGGCGTTTTAAAAAAACTATTTATTGAATAACCAGTCCGCCAAGTCGCCGATGAATTTAGTGAGTAATTATGAAATTTCGGCTTCCAATTGCGTCCGCCGATGAGCTATGACAACATCAAAACACGGTTTATTAAATAAACAAAACAAACGACGCGTCGCGATCAGCCATCTAGTTTTTCCATTGAATAACCACTTTAAACACAACAAGAAGTATTAAAACAAATCAAAATATGGCACCGAAAATAAATAGAACAATATTTACATTATGACATTCATAAAATAACTATCTAAGTCGCTTTTGTAATGAAATTGAGAAAAAGATAAAGTTTCGAAGGCAGCCATTTCAAAAAATTGTTTATGGTTCCGGTCAAATGTCATTATTTTATTAGCGAACCACGATAGAACGTAACCTGATAGAGAATGTAATAACATAATATTTTTGGTAAAAAAAAATAGTTTGTTAACAAATGTACAGACTTATTTGTAATAGATTTAATGCAATATTTAAAAAATATATACATATAATCACCTACGAATACGTAGTTTCATTAAAAAACCATCTGAACTCAGGTATACTAATCTAATTTTTCAATTTCTTAGACATTACCCATTTGTTGTGGGTACAAAAACTCATTCACGAAAACATTTTCAGGAATGAGAAAAATCCATACCTGGTAATAGGAACATACAACTGGGAGCTTTTATTTTATCGTAAATATACTTATTTCATCTACAGCTGCTCCACCAAAATTACCTTGCGCGTTTCATCTCTAGGGAAACTATTACCATCCTTTTTACTCTTACGAGGTTTTCCGTTTAGCAGACTTGCTTGGTCTCTGTCACAGGTTTAGTGTTGTCCATGTCAAACGTACAGAGATTGTATAGTGTTATCTCGCTCACTTGAAGGGTGGTAGGCGGACTCCGTATATCATCTGTTCTCCTACTATTTACACGTCGTGGAAACCTTGACGTGTTTCAGTTGACTTTGTCAACGTCAAACAAAAATACTAGTAACCGAGTTGTTATGAATACTGGCCTTACACAGGGTCCAGGGTCCTTTTTTATTATTTTATAAATATGTTATCGGAATCGTTAACTGATTATACGGTCCATAATCCACTTTGCTGGTCTAATGCGGGTTGGGAACTTAACACGTTTATTAAGGGCTATGAACCTTCTTCGCAGGGCAGGTTTTCCTTCAAATGTACGTAACTTAGAAATTCAAGTCATAGCACAGTATTACATAATATCTTCCCATAGTCATAGGAAATACCAATCATCAATTAAAAATATTATTGCTACTGGTAAAAAAGAATTTAAGATCTGACAATATAGTTTAGACGCCTTAGTCCCGAAAAACGAATAAAATAAAAAAGCATTGATGTAATTTCCGTTTATTAGACAACATTTTTAATCGCCACGAAACGCCCAAGTATTTTAAGTACGAAAAACGCATAAAATATGAGTGTATAATCTACTACCTCCAAAAAATTTAATTAAACGTTCTAATCCAACATTTACATAAAAATATGAATGCTAAAGCCCCATGATCTATGAGAAATGTTAGAGTTTCGGCGGTTGACCGCTTAATCTTCGAAAAAGTTTCCTCCGAGACGTCCGAAAGTGGGTTCTTTTGGTGAGAACCATAAATCTTGCGCGTAATTTATCTTTCCCGAGCGTCATGTAAGGAATCTAAAGATTACAGCAGTTAAACTTGCATTAACAAATAATATCGTTTCACGTAAGTACATATACATAAATATACGTACAAATAAATAAATATGTATACGTATGAACAAAAAAACAACCTCAAAAGTTTATGGAATTACATTTTTATTGATATCAGTCAACGGAAAGTGGGTGAAATCCAATGAAACGGATTCATCTTCCAATTTGACCACTAGAGGTAAGTAACCCTTTCCAACAAAAAAAAAGAATCATCGCAATCGGTTCGCAAATGTCGGAATGTTCGCAAATTACATAAACAAAACAAAAATACAGTCGAGTTGAGAAAGAGTGTCCTCCTTTTTTGACGTCGGTTAAAAACATTTAATCTCTCTCTTTTAGTTTTATTTATGCAAAAATTTTAAAAATTAGCCATTGTATTTTTATTTATGTAAAAGTAAGTCATACGACCCTACGGCAGGACCATGTCTAGATATATGTCTGTGGTAGGACGAAAATTTTGACTTTAGAAAACTACTAAATATAATTGTTGGGATTTTTTTAAAGCCTATACTGACCCATTGCTGGACAAAGACCTTTACCTCTCTCCACACCTCTCTGTTTTGCGCCACTAAAGTGAAGTCTTAGGTGCGCGCCTAGCTCATCTCTTCGTCGACGCTGTGATCTGCATTCTGTGGTGGATTTCGCTCACGACTCGTACACTCGTAGTACCACGGGCAACAAAGGGTATATCTATGTGACATAATTAATTCAATTTGAGTATTAATTTTAATTTGACCCTGTGGCAACATTTTTGCTCTCTCTATGGTTCCGGTAGGATTTTATTTTCAACTGCCTTCGAAACAGGAGGAGGTTCTTTTTGTGTGTGTATGTTACGCGATTATTCTCGCATTTGTGAACTGATTTTTTAACCGACTTCAAAAAAAGGAGGAGGTTCTCAATTCGATCGTATGTTTTCATGAGGTAATTTTTTGGTGGAAAGAGGATAAATATTCCACCTCTAAGGGTGGCAAACTAGGAGATGAATCCAGTTTCGCTCACTTTCCGGCAACTGATTTCAATAAAACTTGGCAAATATCGTAAATTCACGGACTTTTGAGGTCGGTTTTTTTAATATAAAAGTTATAATCTAATATACAAAGGTCTCCAACAATCTAACCGAAGAAGAGGGAGCGGCCTGTAATAATAATAACTACTATAATCGTTGGCGGTATAATCACGTGCCCTCAACGTATACGAGGTTTCGCCGCGAAGATTGGCTACACAATATTTTAGTTTTATTGAGCCACTTGTCAGAAAATATGCGGTTCGATAGATCGGCCACTACCAACTAACCAATTCTTCATGCGCACTCCTTCATCTGAGATATACACATTCCTTGTTCGCTTTCAATTAAATTTTAAAACATGTTTTACATTGAAAAAAATAAATAATGAAAATTAATTTAATTTTTTATTGAATTGATGTTCAATTAATTTTTTATGTGAAATAACTCCACTAGTTTGTTATAATTATTAATACAAAGATCGAACACTCAGAAAAAATTCCTTCGATCCGGCCAGATTCGAACCTGAAAATTAATTATTATTATTATTACTATAAAGAAATTGCATGTCATTAAATTCAATTCAAATTTTTAACGTACATGTTACTAACATAGTTTCTTAAGGTTTTGTAACTACTATACTATGGACTTATTTGTCTGATAATAATTAATTTTTAATTTTAATTTAATTTAATTTAATATGATATCATTGATGTTTTTATTGTACTTATAATATTCATATATTTCTTGTGAAACACTCCACTAGTTTGTTATTATTACAAAGATCGGAACTGCAACAAAGAAAAATTTCTTCAACCTGGCTGAACACTAACCAGCGATTTTTGCCTTAATGTGGCTACCGCTCTGCCAGCTGTTGAGTTTTAAGTAGAAGTAGAGATCCGTGTGAAAGAGTTCGTCCACGGAAGTATACTGCCACCTTACCTATTTCTGCCGCCAAGCAGTAATGTCAGCATTACTGTGTTCCGGTTTGGAAGAGTAAGGGTGCAGGTGAAATTACCGACACTTGGAACTAGTCAACCTAAGGTGACGGCCACAGTGGCAGTGCCCATAAGATCGTTGCGATTTAAAGCTCTTGACCTCATGAACACGACTAATTCTCCCGTCTCTTGATATCATAAAAAAGTAAGTAAAGTAAAAATCAATCTTTAAAACGAAATGTCTGCTACAAATTACTCTGTTCCCCAAAAAAAAAAGCGACAGTCGACAATTTCCTCAATCGGGAAGAAGTCAGTTCCCTTGACAATGGACTTTTCCATAAAACCATTAATCACAGGACCCTTGCCGAGCACAGAAACCGGGATATCAACGATTCACCAACGCCTGAGACTTTACGACGATTTAATTTGTCAAGGTTCATGAAAAAAACAATTGTGCATCGGTTAAGAAGTCAATTTTTTTTATAAATAACAGACACACGCTAGGGCACAATCTCACCTGATGCTAAGTTGTAGACATTTAAAAATACATATTCACTCTTGCCCTGAATAGCCCCAAATTGTATTTTCCGGGAAACACAGATGCCGTAGATGCGGTAGAGTATTCGATTCCTTTGCCGTACCCATAAAAAAGGAGGAAGCAAAGCGCTTATTGCGAATGGGTAGTAGGTATATCAACGACAAGGATGGAGTGCACTGGACCTCTAGTCAACCGAAGGAGGAACGGTGAGGGTGGAACTAAATTGAAAAGTTCCTGTGCTCACTCCCCGAAATGTATCCGATAGAAAAGCGGCAAGCAGGTTACTTTTCTGCGAT